ATTTGAAATCTTTTATATGAATCTAGCAGTTTAAGAAATTGAATATATTGTTCGATTACATTCTGAAATCATTAGAATACGTATTCTGCTTTTTTCAGAATTCAGTAAATTGTTGATTTCTCTTCTATATACTCTTATCTTTTTCTGATGAATTTTTTTCTTTTCATATGTTTAAAACTTGAACATGATCAAATGTATGTAACTAATGCATAGTGTACATATACCAAGTATAAGTGATTAAAGATTTGTTGTATAAAAGTAGACTTACAGTAACGTAGAGTAAACTCAATTAGCTATCTCTTAAAATGATTAATAATTTAGAAGGGCTTTCATAAATAATTATGAAATTTTTTAAAAGAAATCATTAGTGAAACTTCAAAAAATATGACTAAATGATTAAGATTGTTATTATTGGTTTCATGATGATTCAAGAATAAATCAAAATTGCAAATCAATTTGTGTTGGTTTCTTAACGATTCAGTAACGAACTAGAGTTCGCGATTTACGAGGTTGATACTTGGTATTTTTTGTCTTAAAAAAAATTAATCTCATTGATTAAAGAAAAATTATTAAAACAGAAGAGATGAGGAGGCCTCAAACTTGAGATATCAATCAAGAATTTCTAACTCATCAACCAATTGAGCGAATAAATATTGTTGTAAATTACTCCCTAAAATATGATTAAATCTAATATTTCTGATTAAGGGCATAATAGGATTTTAACTAAATTAAAGTATATATCACCAAACTTAAAAAATAAAAGTATAGATAGAAAACGTCCAAAAAAACATCATTTATTTCCAATTTTCTCAAAAAATTGATGATTGCACAAGGATTGGATAGTATATATTAATCAATATAGTTGAGGGTTATGTTTCTCCCATTGCACAAATAAGTGAATAACTACGATAAACAATTAAAAATGGTAAATAAATTATTCATTGTATATATAATAATACACGAGATGACGTTTTATAACATCATATATAGTAAAATATATATTAATATAAAGGGAAAAAACAACATGGTCGTAACGCGAGTTATCCCTAGTAACTATATAAAACACAAATTTAAATGTCACTTATATGTGTACTTAAAAATTATCTATTTTTGACATCATTGTACCTCTATAGAGAACTGGTAACAAGTTATTCGAAGAAAGTTTCACTTTCGAGCTATATAACAAGATTAAACTGTTTAGTAGAAACAAGACCATAATATAATCAAAGACTTAAAAAAAGGAAGACTATAATATAATCAAAGATAGTGGACGAGCTGACATGGGACTTGATACAGTCTGAAATCCTGTTACTCACCTAAGCTTT